GCCAACGGGGTGGGTGTTGTACCCCCCCCCCCCCCCTAACAGAATGCTTCCCTGATTAGTGGAGTCGCTTTCCCTTGAAAAGTGCAAACCTGGGAGCCACTCAAGACCAGGGAGTGGCTCCAGCTGGACAGTGGAGGTGAGAGGAAGTGGACCCTCCGGTGGGGGTCCGACACCAAACAAGGGGACGTTTGCCCGGTGCTGAAACAGCGGCTGAACGTGAATGCGGCTCTGGGCTCATCCTGCAGTGGGGAACGGAAGAGGCCACCTGACCAATGTGTGCGTGTGTGTCTGGAGGGAGGCGGGGAGGGGGAGGTCAGGGCTGGCAAGGGCTCATCCTGCACTCGCAGGGGAGCCCGTCCCAGAGTCATTGCTGGAGGCCGAAAGCCTGCAGCAAGGCCGGGAGGTCTCGGGCGTCGGCCGCCGCGTAGAGGTCGCTCTGGCCCAGCATGGAGAGGGCCATGCGGAGGGTGCTCCAGATGTTGTCGGACATGGCGCCCTGCTGCCCCCGCGGGCCCCGGCTCTTCTGCTGCATGTGCAAGGCCTCCAGGAAGTGCTCCACGGCCTCTCTGCGGAGACAGCAAAGGAAGGTGATTGGCGGCGGCAGCGGCGGGGGGAGGTCCAGAGACACTCAGTCCCCCCACAGTTAGACACAGGCAGGTGAAGGAAACACTCCCCAGGTGCCCACCCTCGCCCGGTGCCGTCCCGTGTCTTCCAGGCCTCTATGACTCAGACACATCGGAAGCGACAGAACTGCTTTGGGCTGCTGTGCCGGCAACACGGGTTGCCACGTCGGCTCTGCACGCCTTCACCGAGGAAGCCGACGAAGCCAGAGTGGGAAGCACAGGGAGTGGAAGACGCATGGCTCTTTTTGTAGTGGGACCTCCTTTGCATATTAGGCCACACACCCCAATGTAGCCACTCCTCCAAGAGCTTACAGAGCTCTTCTTACAGGAGCTACTGTAAGCTCTTGGAGGATTGGCTACATTAGGGGTGTGTCGCCTAATATGCAGATGAGTACCTGCTACAAAAAGAGCCCCGGAGCAGCACGGAGCTTCAGGAGTGAGGGTGGGAACACAGGTCCGGCAAGCAAGGTCCTTAGACGCTCCTGCCCACACTCTGTTAAGGGCCATCCTGGTTTGCTCCGTTCTCAGCCATTCTTCAACTTGTGTCTCCGGCCAGCGTGTTTGCTCACAGGAGGCCTCTTTAACTTGATCCGCCCCCTTCCCCCAAAACTCCTTCCAAAGGAAACTCCGCAGGTCAGTGAGTGCCAGCATTTGGGGAGGGGGGGTAATTTGTGTGTGTGTGTGTGTGCACGTGTGCTTGCGTGCCTGGAAGCCATGGCAACTTCTAATGACCCCTACCGGGAGGCTGGGATGTTTTCCAGAGAGATGGCTTGATAGCCTGCCTCTGCCTCCTGGCCCTGGTATTCTTTGGAGGTCGCCCTTCCAAGTACTCGCCAGGGTCGGCCCCTGCTTAGCTTCCGAGATCTGATGAGATCGGGCTTGCCTGGGCTACCCAGGTCAGGGTGGTGAGTGCCGGCATTCTGACAGAGTTAATCGATCTCCCGCGGTGTGGGGGCAGCTCTCCCAACCACCAATGCAAGCAAGGCCAACCCAAAAGTGGACACTAACAAAAAAAGGACTGCTGGTGGTGCTGGTTCCACCACAGCGCACACTTTGTGAGACCAAATGCTTGGAGAGGCTAGTGGCAGCCTAGCTTCTCTCTCGCCGGCTCTCGCTCACCTGTGAGCTCCGAGGTTGATGCAGCTGATGCCCAGGTTGTACCGGGAGCGAATGTAGCCCGGCTGTAGCTCCAAGGCCCGCCTGTAAGCCGCGACAGCTTCCTCGCTCCGGTTCCCATTGGCCAGAGTGGCACCCAGCTTGTTCCACAGGAGGTGATCCTAGGCGGGGGGGAAAGCCAAAGACAGACTTTACAAAGGGGCTTGTTTCAGTCCGATTTCCTGCCCCACGCTACAGGCCCCGAGCACAGGAGACAGGCTGCTGGTTTACCAAGCGCAGCATCGACTCTTCTCTCGGGGGTCTCAGCTGAAGGTCTTTCACATCTTCTGCTACCCAATTCTGTTCATCCGAGATGGCAGAGATGGAACCTGGGACCTTCGGCATGCAAAGCAGGTGCTCTACCTCTGAGCCACAGCCCCTCCCTACTGAACCACACAGTCCTTTTAGACTTTTGCTCCGTTTCTCCTAGGTTTTTTTAATAACGCACACTAGAAGTGGAACAGCACAATGCTGCCAACAGTATGAGCCATGAGTGAGGAAGTCCCCTGTTCAATACTCCGTCCCGTTTTGAGCACACAGTGTGGTTTAAGGCAAAACGCGCTCTCGGCTCTTCCTCAAAACACGGGAGTTATAATACTGAACTCCTTACAGGTTTATTGTAAAAAAAAAATGACTGAAACATACAAAACTCGCTCTCAAAAAGCATTACGGAAATCATCCGTGGGGTCAGGTTATGGGGTCTAGGGCTCGCTGAGCTGTGCTGATCTTATGTCTGGGCTGTACCATTTCGGCCTGCGGGTGGGGCCCAAACTACTCTACAGCCCTCCGAACAAACGCGGCCCTGTCAGTCTTAGAAGGGACAGACTCCTGGTCACAGCGCTGTGGGTGCCCCATTCAGAACTTAAAACTGTCACTTTAAATCAATTGAGCCTCGGTTTGTTTCAAGTGGGGGAAAGCAAGGAACAGGAAGTTTTGAACACCCCTGTGTGCAGGGCTATTTTTGGGCAGGAACGCACAGGAACGGAGTTCCGGCTGGCTCCCAAGCTGGCCACGCCCAGCAGGAACTCATTAGCATAATAGGCCACACCCAACAGCAGAAACTCATTAGGATTGGCTACATTAGGGGTGTGTGGCCTAACATGCAAAGGAGTTCATGCTACAAAAAGGCCCTGGGTTTTGACAACAAACAAGGTAAACAGAATAAGATGCAAAAGGTGGGTGTGGCTGGATGACCACACTTCTGGTAATATGGGGGTGTGGCCGAATAAGCTAATGAGCTGTGCTATCAGGGGTGTGGCCTAATATGCTAATGAGTTTTTGCTGTTGGGTGTGGCCTATTATGCTAATGAGTTCCTGCTGGGCGTTTTCTACAAAAAAACCCTGCCTGTGTGAATAATACAATATACTGAGCAGTCTCAAAGTCAGCACTGAGATAGGATGCCTGGCAAGGTCTTGCTCTTTTTTGCATGCCCTGGGAAGCAACGTTTCTCCACAAGATCAGGAGAAAGCGCATCCACGCTGCAGAACAAAAGGCCCACACCGGAAGATAGCCACTCTCCTGCCGACTGCCTTTCTCACTGCTCCACAGACCACATTCCCTGGAACTCCTTCTCCCAAAGAAAATGCTCCATCTCAAGAGAAACACCTCTCTCTCTTTTGGAGTTCAGCCTCTTTTTCTTGCCCTGTGGCCGGGCAACCTCTCACCCATACTGTGCAGAAATCCCCTCTCTCTACAGGGCACTGTTACCAGGACAGGACCCAATGCCGGAAGAAAGGGCACCGATATTCTAATAGATATTTTTAAAAGGCTTACTCACACACGAGTCAGGTTTATCCTGCTCTTCCCCCTAATAAGTTCGGAACAGTGTATGCAATTCTTCCCCACCAAAAACCCCCCACCATTTTATCCTCACGACAAATCTGAGAAGCCGAGAGCCTGTAACCAGTGTTCCCTCTAAGCTGAGTTAGGTGTGAGCTAGCGCTCGGTTTTTAGCCTCCGGCTCACACATTTTTGCCTTAGCTCAGGAAGGAGGGCTCCGGAGCAGACTAATCTGTGCAGTGGCCAAATTGCTCGCTCACAACTTTAATGCCAGGAGCTCACAAAGTAGGATTTTTTGGCTCACAAGACTCCACAGCCTAGGTGGCAAACCTATGGCACGGGTGCCAGAGGTGGCACTCAGAGCCCTCTCTGTGGGCACGCATGCCATCGCCCCAGCCAGGCCCAGACCGTCATTAAAGTGTCGAATTCTCTGCCAAATCATTTTAAGTAAATGAAAGCATTTGGGATTGCTTTCCTTACTTTGTTTGGATCATCTTAAGTTAATGTATGGGTTGTTTTTTCTCAAGTAAAACCTCAGTATTCAGGTTTAATTGCCGTGTTGGCACTTTGCGATAAATAAGTGGGTTTTGAGTTGCAGTTTGGGCACTCGGTCCCTAAAAGGTTCGCCATCACTGGCCTAGGAGGAGCACTGCCTGTAACTGGACCGAGACTCAGCGTTGACTGAAGATCTGAACCAGCGTCTCCTTCGCCTGGAACCCAAATCGCTGCACCTCTCTGGTTTTCAAAAAGAAAAACTAGCACCTCAGGGTAAAGGGTCCTAGGCTAACCTTTTTGTCTGACATGCTAGCTTTCTATGAGGAGGGATTTTGGTTGCTGTCTGAAGGAACGTTCTGTCACGCAAGCCCACCTGGCACTGAGGCGGTAAAGGCCTAGGCACAGCAAAGACCGTATCTGTGAGAACGAGACCCCACTTCACAGACCCCGTCTCCCACCCACTTTCCCATCCAGCCTGCTCTTCCCTTACATTTGGGCGTGCGCTCAGTGCAGCGGTGAAGCAATCCACGGCCTTCTCGTACTCGCCACTCAGGTTGAAGAGAACCCCCAGGCCGCACTGCACGTCGGGGTCCACGGTGGAGGTGTTGCTTCTCACAGCCGCCAAGAACAGCTCCTTCACTTCAACGAAGAGTGAGCTGGGGGCGGGAAGAGCAAGAGACGTGCCTGGAGTAGTGCCCTTGCACACATCTGTATCTCCCCCCACTGCCGCCCCCCCCCAGGTTGCCAAGCCCAACCTAGAAAATTCCTGGAGATTTAGGCAGGCAGTGCCTGGGGAGGGTGGAGTTCGGTGACGGGAAGGAGCTCAAGCAGGGCTATGACGTCATTCTGGGACTTCCGTTCTAAGACTACCATGGCGTTTATGGGAAATGGAAGTCCTAGAATGACATCATAGCCCTGCTGGGCTCCTCCCCATCCCTGAACGCCACCCTCCCATACCATAGAGTCCACCAGTGTTCCCTCTAAGCTGAGTTAGAGTGAGCTAGCTCACAGTTTTTTATCCTCCAGCTCACACATTTTTGTCTCAGCTCAGGAAGGATGGGGCTCCAGAGCAAACTAATTAATGCAGGAGCCAAATGGCTCGCTCACAACTTTAATGCCAGTAGCTCACAAAGTAGAATTTTTGCTCACGAGACTCCACAGCTTAGAGGGAACATTGGAGTCCACCCTCTAGGAGAACTGATTTCTGTAGTCTGGAGATCAGTTGTTAATTCTGGGAGAACTCCAGGCCTCATTCTTAGGTTGACGGGCCGAACTGCTGCTCCTTTGGCTTTCCCGGGACTTACTCCGTTAAGAGGGAACCCAGGATACGTCTGGAGGACCCAAGGCCCGGGCTAGGGCTGTCTCCTGTAGCCTCCGTCCCCATCAGGTGAGCATACTCCGGCTTGTGGCGCAGCCAGTCGCGCAGGGCTTCACAGGCCTGCTTCTGCAGTGACTCGTTGGTGAAGCTGACGGCAAGCGCCATGAGTGCCGTGAGGTTTTTGGGGCTCAGCTCTAGACATCTACAAGGCAAACACAGACACCGAGGGAAACGGTTGGCGCATAAGCGCCGGAGCAAGCCTTTCTGAGATGAGCATGTTTGTTAGCCACAATCATCCTGGAATGTTCACACTGAGAAAAAGGAGCGGCGGCTCACTTATACACACGACTGCTGGCCTGGGAAGGTACGGTTTTTTTAACAGAGCCCCCACCCCCCCGAGTCCGCAGGCCACGGAGAAGTTCACTTCCAAACTCTTCCCCCTCCTCCTGTCGTGAGAAATTAAAAATCAAAGAGCAAAAGAAGCCTCACTCTTCCCAGATGGCAGATCTGCAGTAAACCTGCCAGTTGGAGACAGCTGTGTGTCACAGGCAAGGATGGGAGTGCCCGGCAGGGGAAAAGTTAAAAATCGGGGGAGGTTAAGTTTTTCCCTCCTTTGATGACTTTTCCACCCCCATCCTTCCAGTGGAAAAAATGAGAAATTTTGGAGAACACTGGCGGAAAAACCCCACCCATCAGATTTTATTTTATTAGCATTTGAAATGAGTGGAATGTTTTTTAAGACAGGGTTTTATTTACTCAGCATGCACAGCACGAAAAATTTTAGGCAACACAACCTATAGTATTAGATACCAATAAATACTATTGAAGACATGCAAATGGACATGTTTATAATTTGAGCAACAGTAAATATGCTATAATATGTCTGATAATCATTAAACATAATTATTAAAAGAGCTCAGTGCTTTTAATGTTATAAAGTTTAACCTGATACACAAATACGCCGGTAGCCCTACCTGCTGCGAATGTATGAGACTCCTTCTGTCCAAATAATATAGTACTCTCTTCTGTACTGTAACGTTTGTGCTACAGTTTCAACTTTCATCTTTCCCTGGGTTTCAGTTGCCAAAAACTAGATGGGCTTAGATCCACAGAGTGTAGCAATTTACAGCCCTCTCTCAAATATTAGGAGGAGATTGGATTTATACCCCGCCCTTCACTCGGAGTCTCAGAGCGGCTTACAAACTCCTTTCCCTTCCCCTCCCCACAACAGACACCCTGTGAGGCAGGTGGAGCTGAGAGAGCTCTGACAGAAACTGCTCTTTTTCAAGAACAGCTCTTATCAGAACTATGGCTTGCCCAAGGTCATCCAGCCAGGTGCAAATGGAGGAGTGGGGAATCAAACCTGGTTCTCCCAGATTAGAGTCCGCGCACTTAACCACGACACCAAACTGGCTCTGTATTTGCTCTGTATTAGGTGTATTTGCTCTGTATTAGGCATATTTGCAGTTTTGCTTGTAGAAAACCATAGCATTTACTTTTAAATTCCATAAATATGCCAATCGGAACAATATCATATCAGAGACATATTTTAGGTTGCTAAAAACATCAAAATGTTTAATGCAGGGGTGTAAAACGTGCAGCCTGGGGCCCGGAAGATAGAATCAGGGAGCTGGAAGGGGCCATCCAAGCCATATCTAGTCCAACCTCCTGCTCAATGCAGGATCAACCTAGAGTATCCCTGACAAGGGTTTGTCCAGACGCAGCTTAAAGACTGCTCTTATCCAGCCCATGAACAACTGATGCAAGGGAGGAAAGGCAGAAGGCTGAACTGGGGGGGGGGGGGGGGACAGGCATACAGGTGCACACGGTGAGGGGTGTGTGTGTGTGTGGTCAAAGCTGTTAAGAAATGAAAGGAAATGGCTAGGGGGCGGGTATGGAATCCCTTGGAAAAAAACCTACTCTTGCATAAGTTTAAGTATATTTATTGGGGCTTTTGTGGATTCCCCAGTAAATCAATTGTTTTCACTCCTAGGAATCAATTGCTTTTGTTTGTATTTTGCGTAAAAAAAATATTGTTAATTGGGTTTGCCTGTGTCCTTTATGAAGTTTATATCTCCGCTACCAGGCATTTCATTTTATGGCACACATGTCCTGGCCTATAAAAGTAACTTTTATGTCAGATTTGGCCCTCATAACAAATGAGTCTGACACCTCTAGTTTAATGGGTTTGCTAGGAAAGGCCACTCATGGGATAGGGCAGTGTATAAATAAAATAAATAATAATATACTGTATATGTAACCCTTTCTGCCTTAAAAGGGTCAGGTTAGCTGTCACAGCATTGCAGACGCCCCGTTCATAACCTGAACTGTGGCTACCACTCACACACAGCCTTTATTCAGAGGCAGGAGAAACAAGGAGTATAGAATTAGTAAAGGTAAAGGTTCCCTTGCTCGAAAGCCAGTCGAGTCCGACTCTAGGGTTGCAGTGCTCATCTCCGTTTCAAAGCCGCTGTCCGAAGACATTTCCGTGGTCATGTGGCCGCCATGACTAAACACCAAGGCGCACGGAACGCTGTTCCCTTCCCACCGGAGTGGTACCTATTTATCTACTTGCAATTTCTTGCTTTCGAACTGCTCGGGTGGCAGGAGCTGGAACTAGAGAGGGGAGCTCACTCCGTCATGAGGCACACTCGGGTCTCGGACTGCTGAACTACTGACCTTCCCCAGCCTGCAGTTCAGCGTCCTAACCACTTGAGCCACCACTTGGGAGTTTTGAAAGAAGTAATGTGAATGATAAGCCATACTGAGACATCGCAAAGTCAGGGAGAAAGGGAGCGCGCCTCTAGACTCAAACAATCCGGGGAAGCCTGCATACTGGGCGAGGGTCTCTCTTCTTTACTTCTCCTCACAGAATCAATAGGAAATGCATCAACATTGTGGGGAGGAAAGGCCCATTTCAGAAGATGGCCGCTCCTCCCTGCTCCACAGAACACCTTCTCTGGAATTCCTCCTTCCAGAGGAAATCTTCCATCCCCTCAGGAGGAAAAACACACCTCATCTCTCGCTCGCTCTCCCTCTCTCCGAGGAGTTCACCGACTTCTTTTCTTGTCCTGTTGCCAGGCAACCTGTTACTCAGCCTGCACAGAAATCGCCTCCCTCTACAGGGCCCTGTTACAAAAGCAGGACCCAACGTGCAGGAAGAAAATGGGTCACGTACCCTCTTGGAATTTATTTCGAAGGTTTATACATATATAGAAGGAAGGAGGCTCAAAGGATGAATGGGAGCAAATCCCCGAGACCTCATTCCCTGCATGCTGCCAAACTGGAGGCACATCCTTCCCCTGGGGGACCCTCACCACTATCCTTTTCCTCTCCTCTAAGGCCCCCTATGGGGTGAGCAATAGACTGGAAGCTCCATGGGGCAGGGACCTGTGACTGACCCAAGGTCACACCAGCAGCTGCATGTGAAGGAGTGGGGAAGCAAACCCAGTTCTCCCAGATTAGAGTCCGCGAGTCTGTGCTCCTAACCACTACACCAAACTACAAACCAACACTGTAGTAGTAGCTGCCACTGAAAAAACATTTTAATTTGCACAGCCAATCACATCTCCAATGACCAATCAGAAGCCCTGTTGGACAGGTGCCCCATCTGGCCCCACCCACTTTTAAAAAACACTTGGCTGGTGCCAGGAAAGGTACCCACAGACACCACATTCGGAACCGAAGAGAAGAAAGTCCTGAAGAGCCAAGGTAAAAGGACTCACTAACCGGAGAGTGAGCTGCTCACAGTGCGACGGTCAGAAGAGAACTGGTGGGATGTTTGTACCCCGCCCGCCGGGCATGCGCACTGGGGTTCCTGCATATGCCTAGGAGGGCTAGGCGTGAAAAATCCCTTCAGAGCTTCAGCAGAAGAAGAAGAAGAAGAGATTGGATTTCTACCCCACCCTCCACTACCCAAAGGTGTCTCAGAGCGGCTTACAATCTCCTTTCCCTTCCCCTCCCCACAACAGACACCCTGTGAGGGAGGTGGGGCTGAGAGAACTCTTGACAGAAACTGCTCTTTTTCAAGAACAGCTCTTGTCAGAACTACAACTTGCTCAAGGTCATCCAGCCAGGTGCAAGTGGAGGAGTGGGGAATCAAACCCGGTGCTCCCAGATTAGAGTCCGCGCACTTAACCACAACACCAAACTGGCTCTCAACACCGATCGGATCAGCGCAGGCGCACGGAGTTCCCATGGGTGTGATGCACAGAGACCACGACGAAGATCGCAGCACACATTGTTGGCAGCGGAGAAAACATAATTATAACAAATTCAGTTCTACATAGTTAGAACTTGCTTCAGTTGCGGAGGGCTGAGGTGGTTTTTAAGCCAAAAACCTCATGGGAAAGGCAGGCTTACACGGAGGATTTTGAGGGATTTCGGCTTATGCCCCTGGCCAGACGGAGGGCATTACATTTTCAGGCTCTTGTACGGACAACAGCGGAGACAACAACCAGCTGGCAGCCACAGAAAGGCACAGCGTCATGGCTGCCCTATGCCAACTCACCCTCAGCAGACTACTCACCGCCTGAGGGCACTGATCGCTGCAAGTTCTTGCTCGTTCTCTGCTTGCGTCGTACCCAGGTACTGCCAGGCCTAAGACAGAGATATGATGGGGGGAGGGGATAGGCTGCGTTTTAATCAGTATAGAACTGGACAAACACAGTGGGCAGATTTTCTGGAAAACACTTTTACAGACACATGAGAAAAACGAGAGGGGGGTGGTGGATTTATACCCCGCCCTTCACTTGGGAGTCTCAGAGCAGCTTACAACCACCTTCCCTTCCTCTCCCCATAATGGACACCCTGTGAGGTAGGCGGGGCTGAGAAAGCTCTGAGATAACAGCTCTGAGAGAACTTGTGACTGACCCAAGGTCACCCAGCTGGCTTCACACGGAGGCGTGGGGAATCAAACCCGGTTCTCCCAGATTAGAGTCTGCCGCTCTTAGCCACTACACCAAACTGGCTCTCCTGTTAGAGCGCCTATCATTTTAGCAGTCTAAGGGAGAAGGGTATATTGCACCAATTCATGTCTTTTGTACATCTTGCCAACCAATTGCACACCCTGGACCAATGAGGATGGAGATGACTGAAGTCTGCTTTCCACAGGGTTGTTTGTGCTCTCAGGTGGGAAAAGGGACTGACTGAAGGGTTTTCGTAGAGAAAGAATATGGAATACGCACTACATGTTTGTAGAAGCTTCAAGAAGATGTACAGGGCAGCCAGATTCATAAGAGCTTGGTATTTGAACTTTTAAATTACTTGATCGTTTATGATCAGAGAGTAAGTTTGGAAGACAGAAAACCAAGGAGGTTCTCTGTCTGAAAAGTCCCCAACTACCTGCCAGCCATCCCTCACGTAGCACAGAGTGAGAACTGGAAGACTTCTCCACAGTGCATCAAAGCAACCCACTCATTTATTAACAATATTTATATGCCTGGTACATTTATACATATGTGGTGGAAGTGTGAAAAAGTACAAAGATACTGGAAAAAAATATATAGAATGGTAAATGAGATTATAGAAGAACAAATACCATTTGTACCAGAAATTGCTCTATTGAATATGCTTCCAGATATGTATAATAGAACGAACAAATATGTAATTATATGTCTTTTTACAGCAGCCAGAATACTAAGCCAAAAAATGGAAGGAAGAAGAACTGCCCTCGGAAAAAGAAATAATTGATAAAATACTGTCAGTAGTAGAAATGGACAAATTGAGTTTAATAACAAAAGGTGCTATGAGTTTAATAACAAAAGGTGCTAGCAAAGAGACAATTGATAAAAGATGGGGAAAGTTTTATATATGGTTGGATAAATATAATAGTTAAGACTCACAAGTATGAAAAATGTAAACCGATGATATGATGTATACTGAAACATTTATAAATAAACCTTAAAAAAAATTATATGCCTGCCTTTCACCTCAGCATTTCAGGACCCAAGGCAGGGAATAACAAACATTAAAAATCCAATCTAAAAAAACCCAACACCTCAGTTCCCCCCTGAACCTCTCTAGAATAACGGTCTTGCAGTCTTGCTAGAAAACCAGCCCTCGTGACCCTTCCTGGGAGACTGTTCTGGTGGCATGGGCAGCCACTAAAAAGGCTTGGGCCCAGGCTGTGGCTGAATGTGCCTTAGAGATAAACGAACAGTAATCCGTATTGGGAAGACCAAAGCTGCTGTACAGGGACGTGCAGAACAAGAGGGTTCTTCACGTATGTAGGCCCTAGGTCACCAAGGGCTTTGAAGGTGAGCACCATCACTTTGAATTGGATCCAGAATCTAATTGGCAGCCGGAGAAGAGACCTCAAAACAGGACAGGCATGGGCCCACCAGCTAGACACAGATAACAAAACAGGCTGCCACATTTTGCCTCAGCTGCAGTTCCTAAATAGTCTTCAAGGGCAGCCCCATGCAGACCATGTTACTGTAATCTAGCCTCAAGTTTACTAAAGCATTGATCTGAACAGGCAGATCAGGCATCTGCAAAGGGGGAACCAACTCCTAACTAGGCATAGTGGGGGGAAGAGCAGTTCTCTCTGTCTTGGATACCTGTTTCTCCAACAGGAGACCAAGATCCAGAAAGACTCCTAACTTCTTAACAGGGTCTTTCAGTAAAAGCTGCACATCATCAACAGTAGGAAGAACAATCCATTTACAAGCAGCAGCTCTTCCAGCAAGCATTACCTCTGTCTTACTTGGACTAAACTTCAATTTGTTCTCCCTTTAGCCACTTGACCATTCAGACGCTGATTCAGGACAAAAACTAATTATCGTACGGTATTATGTGTGGAATAGCCAGGAGATCCTGGAAGGGACTGTTTGGCTGCCGAAGCTGTAGCTCTTTTTTGGCACCACTAGGAGGCGAGCTACGCTTACTTGTAGGCTGCTGTGACTTGCCTAAGGTCAGCCAGCTAGCTGGAAGTGGGGGAATCGAACCTGGTTCTCCAGATGAGAGTCCGCCACTCTTAACCACGACACCAAACTGGTCCAGGACAGAGACTGCAGCAGCTGGTGGCTTATCCAGAATAATACGCAGCTGGGCATCATTGGCATATTGGTAACAATCCACTCCAAACTTTGCCCAACATGACATGTTCCTGATAAATGGGGGATGTAGGAACAGTTAGGGACCCGCCTCCCCTCCTTCACTCACCTCCATGTGATCGGGACTCTGCTGCACCGCCGCCTCAAAGAACTGCACGGCATTGGGGAGGTCCCCTCGCTCCAAGCACTTCAGCCCTTCCTCAAAAGCATGCGGGTGGTCACGGACGGGGTTGTCTTCTTCAAACTGGTATCCCTGTCGGGGAGGGGGAGCAACGGCTTGTATCTTATGTTTCTAAACTTATCGGCAAATAGCCCTATTGTCAGTAGAGAATGATCCCCCCCCCAAGGGCTGAAGGAAGGACATGGACCACTCTTCATAGTTGTGTCCCTCTCTCCCGCCAAGGATCTCAGATGTGGGCTGACTCATCTCCTCCTCCCAAAAACGCTGAGATCCACCCTGACCTGGAGAGCCCAGGCAAGCTCGGTCTCATCAGATCTCGAAAGCTCAGCAGGGCCGGCTCTGGCAAGTACTTGGGTGGGAGGCCTCCTTGGAATACCAGCAGTCGGGAGGTGGGGGTCACTTCTCTGAAAATCCTCCAGGCCCCCAGTAGAGGGGGGGTCAGAGGTTGCCATGACTTCCAGGTGCGCACACACACACACACACACACACACACTGAAAAATACAAACACACCCCCCCCCAAAAAAAAGTGTTGAGATCCCTGACTACCTTAGTTTGGACCCAGAAAGGCGGATGCCAAAACAGACCCCTCCATCTTTAAGATCACAGGAGGCTGTTCGTGGCCCATCAGACTCACAGAGCTATTTGTTATACAGGTTAGGCTGAGACAAAGTTAGGCAAGACCTCCTGGCTTGGGGGAGATTTCAGCCCAGGTCTCTCAAACCCAGTTTAGCCACAGCATCATGCAGGGAAGAAGGGTGAAAGAGATTCCCTTTGAACAGCGTTATTTGTAGCTTTCCCTGTGTATGCTGAGGCCTGCCAACTGGAGATGGTGGGGAATCCAGGAGACAAGCTCAGGAGAGGAAACGGTACCCTATCTTGACAGAAAAATCTTGGCAGACCAGGTACTTGTCAGAAGCCCACACACACACACACAGAAAAGCCCACAGCAACCACATGTGGCTCTTCCCTTGAGCCACTGGGAGGAAATACTGAACAAAAACTGAAAAAAGTGTGCGTGGGGGGGGGGGAACTCAACCCAAAATATATCTGCGAACCAAGAGGGTCAAGCTAACACTATATACAAATACACTTGACGGGTAACAGGCTTCCCAAGTACTTACCGTGATTCGGCGGGGGACACAGACGTCTTCGCAGGATCATTCCCCCGGGGACAACAGACGCGTCGCACCATGCCGTTGCCAAGAAGTGACGCCGGGCGACGCTCTGGCAATGGGGCTGGAAACTCAATGGTACCAATGAGTTTTCAGCCCCATTGCCAGAGCGTCGCCCAGCGTCACTTCCTGGAGACGGCATGGTGTGTTACAGGGAGGAATGGTCCGGCCGGGGAGCATGTTTCCCCCACCGGATCGCAGTAAGTACTTGGGAACCCTAACGGGTAAACACTTTTTAACTTAGGACCAAACGCACGTCGGCCCCTTCGGGCCTTCCTCAATGGTCACTATTCTGTATATTACACTGACACACATCCAAAATACACGTATAAAAAGTTTGTGTGTGTGTGTGTATAACCAGATGTTGTTTCCTTATATGTTTTTAGTCATGCTACTAGCTTATATGTTGGGCCACAAATATAGCCATGCCAATTCTTCAAATTATTCTGGTATCAGAGATTTCATTGGTCTGGATGTGTGTCACCTTCATCAAAGGTAATGATCAAATACTGAACACCAGAGGATGGCAGGCGGGTGAGATGCCATGGCTGACCAGGGAAGAGAACAGACCAGCACTCATCCCTCCTCCTCTCCTGGTGCCCAACAACTGGCTAAATACGCGGCTGAGCCTGGCACCAAGTGCGACACGGGGTTCCCCCTCTGCTTGCTGACTTCCTGGAGCTGCCAGGTGGGAGGGAGGGGCCCCATCCCCCCCCCTTCTCACTCCTTATGGCCTCTATCTGGGTCTGGAAGAAGGAAGTAGCCAGTCACCGAAGAATGCAGGGGAACTGGCAAGGTTCTTTACCGCCTGCCAGTTCCTCCTGCCGGGCTCGATGGAAGGAAGGAGGCTGGAAGAAACGGGATCAGCACAGGTCCGTGTGTGAAAGTGCTGACAAGGGGAGGCACAGGAAGGAAGGGGCACTGGGGGGGGACTTCCTCCCATCACCTGACGTCGCTCTCTCCCTCCACTCCGTGAGTCTTTCCAGGCACTCCCTTGTCATTATCTCCTTTACAGACCCATCTACAAATCCTCGGGGCGGCGTAATCGTTTTTCAATTCCTTGCCTACTTGACAGGCCTGCAAGATCCGAGAGGAAAGGGTAGGAGGAAAGGCAGGAATGGGACGCGAGACCCTGCAGCCCCGTGGAGGGGAGTCTCCGGACACTGGTACCTTGTCGTAAGAGGAGCTGGAGAGATCCTCGTAATCCGTCAGCCAAGGGTGGGCCTCCGCGTCCCGCTTGGCCATCTCCTCCCATTCGGCCTGCAGCTTGTCCCAGAAATCCACATCCGACTGAAGGAAAACGACAACAGGATCCCCCCCCCCCCCCCGGCCGCCTCATCTACCCAAAATTCATGGAAACAGACATCTCCCTGTGAGGAAGGAAGGTGGAGCAATCCTCCCGGGCCTTTGCTGAAGAGAAAGGGCTCCAGTCACCCCACAGAGACTGCTGACTCCCATTCAACCGGTCCTCCACAGCCTCCCCTTCTGCATGCAGCTGTGATCAGGCCACCAGAGAATTCTCCGGGGTGGCTGGCGCGGGATTCCTGGCGGGGTGTGGGACGAGACCGCACACCCTCTTGCCACTTCCGCAACAGAGCTGCTGTGGGACGAGGTATGCCCCAACTTCAGAAGGGCTTCACGACCCACCTCCACCGCCGTCTTGGCTTCCTCAAACTCGGCATCCAAACCCGACGTCTCCCCAGCATGCGTGAACTGATCCACCCAGGCTTCCGATGCGCTCTACCAGGAGAACACAGCAGCGGGAGATCAGAAGCGTCAAGGTCAACGAACGGACAAACCTCCTATTCTGGCTCTTGGTGAGCGAGGCACGGACTGTACGCACGCCTACTGGAACCTGGATTCGGGACACGAGCACAGACCGCGATGGGACGGTTTGTGCCGAGGCCGGTCCTACTCTGCTCCTAGGTACTGCTCTGCACAGTTCTCGACCCCAGCACACTGCCTCCCCACTCGACTGGGGAGGAACAAGATTATCGATTGGCTGCACAGACCACACGGCCCGGGAATCCTACCTGCTGCTGTATAAACTCAGCTGCCCATTTCTCTGCCTGATCCTGGTCTCTGGGGGTAATGGTCACTTGATTTGCCTCGAAGGACACCCTCCCGTCTCCAATCTGGCGAACAAACTTTAGGAACTGCACGAAGAAAGGAGAGACCTTCACCAGTCAACTGTGACGCTCTCGCGGCTCTCTGGACAAGCCTGCGGCCCAGACTGGGCAGAGCCAATTGGGGCAGTGATAACTCTGTATTCCTGGTGCTTGGTGTGGGGGGGTGACAGTGGGAGGGCTTCTGGAGTTCTGGCCCTGCTGGTGGACCTCCTGATGGCACCTGGGTTTTGGCCACTGCGTGACACAGAGTGCTGGACTGGATGGGCCTCTGGCCTGATCCAGCATGGCTTCTCTTATGTTCTTACAGAGAAGAGAGACAGACATTCAGGTGAACTGGGGCAGAGGGAACATGGGAGTGGCTTAAAGAAGAAGAGATTGGATTTTATTTATTTATTTATTATTAACATTTTTACCCCACCCTCCCCGCGAACAGGCTCAGGGCAGCTTACACGGGGGCACAAGCCCATACATAAAAACAGTATAAAACAGTAAAACCATTAAATCACAACAAAACCAGAATATACCCCGCCCTTCACTACCTGAAGGAGTCTCAGAGCGGCTTACAATCTCTTTTCCTTTCCTCTCCCCACAACAGACACCCTGTGAGGTCGGTGGGGCTGAGAGAGCTCTTTGGAGAACTGCCCTTGAGAGAACAGCTCTGAGAGAACTTGTGACTGACCCAAGGTCACCCAGCTGGCTGCATGTGGAGGAGTGGGGAATCAAACCCGGCTCTCCCAGTTTAGAGTCCACCACTCTTAACCACTACACCAAACTGGCTCTACACCAAACCACTACACCAAAAGGTATATGGTCATCAGCTAGAGTTTGGAGACGTTTGGTGTGCAGTCAGGGTCAAGGTGGAAGGCCAAAAACTGATCTCAGAAGTGGCCTGCCAGTGACTGTTCTCATCTTAGATACCATTCCCTGCCCCCTTCGGCGCTGACACCAGTGTGTCAGGAGGACCCAGTGTTCTCCGATTTCTGTCCCTTAATACATGATACCCATCCTTCCATGAAGGGGTGGGTCGGATCTAAACCGGCTTTCTGCTGTGGGAAAAGCGAGGAAGGATGACTACCAAAAAAAGGCTACAATGGGGATCATGGGACCAGCATGGATAAACACCATATGGGGTCCAGGCTGTGGTAAGGAGGAAAACGGGGAAAGATTGACTGAAAAAGCTGGCCGGATTCAACCCAGTGTGTGTCTGCCTATCTCAGATTCACTGATGGAGGCCGGAAGCCTGGAATGTGGGGAGGCTCCCAATGTACAGATGACTAGATTTCTACCACACATTTCCTTCCTCCAAGGAGCAGGGGTAGCCATATATTTATCCCCATGAACACATACTAAGATATGGGTAGGGCTGAGAGATTAATAATAATAGTAATAATAATAGATTAGATTTATACCCCGCCCTTCACTTGGGAGTCTCACAGCAGCTTACAAGCTCCTTTCCCTTCCCCACCCCACAACAGACACCCTGTGAGGTGGGTGGGGCTGAGAGAGCTCTTGACAGAAACTGCTCTTGAGAGAACAGCTCTGAGAGAACTGTGACTGACCCAAGGTCACACCAGCAGCTGCATGTGGAGGAGTGGGGAATCGAACCCGCTTCTCCCAAATTAGAGTCCGCGTTCCTAACCACTACACCAAACTGGCTTTAAGCTACCCAGTGGACTTCATGGCTGAGTGTGAAAATTTGAACTCAGGCCTTCCTGCTCCAAGGCCAGCCCCCTGCTGCTTCCCACTGGCTCTCTAACAACAATCTAGCACCCACACTGAAGTAAAACTGGGATGCCAGCCTCCAGGAGGTGCCTGGGGGATCCCCTGGAATTACAGCTGATCTCCAGCTCCCCTGGAGAAAATGGCTGCTTTTGAGGGCACCGTACCCTACTGAGGTCCCTTGTCCTCCCCCGGCTCCACTCCCAAATTTCAGGGAGTTTCTCAACCTGGATCTGGCAACCCTGCCCTCCCATCTCCCACCGGTGGCCAGGGGGGAACCTGGTAACCTGGCTCTCAAACTGAAGCGCTCAGTGCAGGCCGAGCAGTTTGCCTTCACCATCTGTCCAAGCGAATGGCGTCCTTCACAGGATACCATTTTGTGTAACTGTATAACACGGCAAAGCCCTTCCACAGAGCATTTATAATCAAAAAACTAAAAATGAAAATACACAATACTTTTACTGTAAACTTTTTTCCTCTACACAGGGAGGCCGGCATGCCTGTGAGAGAGCACTCTGGTGGGGTGGGGGTGGGATGTAACACCTTCGAGGAGGGGGAAAGGCTACTCGAAAATGATCGCCTTCGTTTTTGAATTTTTAAAATTATTGTTCCGCGCGGGGCTGTGGTCTATTTGGTCTGCCTACAGGAAAGGAAACCGCCATCGGAGACATGGCTCTCGTTCAAAAGAAAATAACCTGTGGGGGACTGGCACGCTACCAAAATCCACAACACAGGAGTGAGGGGGAACGCATCTTCTGAGACACACACAGAGCAAGAAAAACAACATTTGTTTGCACACTCAGCAGAACAACTTAGCAAGTCGGCCCCCTTCCCTGTAAAAAAAGACACCAGTTACTTCTTCTTTTTACCTCAGAGTTATTCAATTTGGGATCATCCACTTTTGACAGAAAATCATTGGCTGTTTTCTTAAGGTCGTCTTCAGGCTGATATTCCTCGTACCTACCAGGAGAAAGCACAAACCTGGTTCAGGAAGAAGGCGAAAAGATTCTGTGTTTCTATTAAGGGGGGGGGGGAATTCCTAAGATTTTATTAGGAACGGTAGCTGACTACCCAAATCCTGTCAACTGACTGTTTACTTGCTTTAAAAAGGAAAAAAGGAAACCCTTATCAAATACCAAAAAATTAGTACCCACCAAGAATGAAACAACACAAAAAAATTAACATTATGATACACATAAGAGATACGGGGCTGCTTCTGCCAATAGTCGGGGGCTAGGCTTGCCAACTCCGGGCTGGGGAAACCTGGAGATTTGGGGGATGGAACCTGGGGAGAGGAGGGACCTCAGCATGGTATGATGCTATACAGTCCACCCGCCAAACAAGCCATTTTTCTCCAGGGAAACTGATCTCTGTAGTCAGGAGACCAGTTGTAATTCTGGGAGCCCTCCAGGCCCCACCTGGAGGCTGGCAACCCTAGTCAGAGACAGACCTGTCAGTATCTCAAAGGTTTTCCTACTGGCCAGCTGCTCTAACTGCCAGCATCTCAGAACATGTTTTTAACAAGCTGTCGTTCCTTTTTCGTTCTGGCCACTGAAGGTCTTCTAGTCTTTCTTAGGGTGCGGTCTGACGCGCCATTTGATCTGGTGTCATGACAGCTCAGAAACGGATTATTTATCTGCGGGATCACACAGTCAACCAGTGTTCCCTCTAAGCTGAGTTGGTGTGAGCTAGCTCACAGTTTGTTAGCCTCTGGCTCACACATTTTTGCCTTAGCTCGGGAAGCAGGGCTCCAGAGCAAACTAATTGATGCCGTAGCCAAATCGCTCACTCACAACATTAATGCCAGTAGCTCACAAAGTAGAATTTTTGCTCACAAGACTCCACAGCTTAGAGGGAACATTGCAGTCAACATCTGCCTCCCGTCCCCAGCCATTGCTTTCCGGCTCAAAACCGCTTTAACCCGGAGTATTTTGATACCAGGTCCCCAAGTGGTGTTTTCCCGATTCTCCGGTTCCAGCCGCACT